AAGAAGCAAAGGATCAACTATACAGGGAGATAGAGGTTATAAAAAACAAACAAACAGAAATCCTAGAAATGCACGAAGCAATAAACCAACTTAAAAACTCAAATGAGAATACTACCAGCAGAGTAGAACACTTAGAAGATAGAACATCAGACAATGAAGACAAAGTATTTCAACTTGAAAAGAATATAGACAGCTCAGTGAGACTGTTAAGAAACCATGAGCAGAACATCCAAGAAATTTGGGATAACATAAAGAGACCAAACTTAAGAGTCATTGGGATACAGGAAGGTATAGAGGTCCAAACCAAAGGAATGAGCAATATGTTCAATGAAATAATCCGAGAAAACTTCCCAGACTTGAAGAATGAGACAGAATCCCAAATCCTAGAAGCCTACAAGATGCCGAACGTGCAAAATCATAAGAGATCCACACCTAGACATATTATAATGAAGATGCCCAACATACAGAATAAGGAGAGAACTCTTAAAGCTTCAAGAGAAAGGAAGCAGATTACATTTAGGGGTAAACCAATCAGGATAACAGCTGATCTTTCAACACAGACTCTGAAAGCTAGAAGATCCTGGAACAATATATTTCAAACGCTGAAAGAAAATGGGTTCCAACCAAGAATTGTGTATCCAGCGAAATTAAGCTTCAGGATGGAATATGAAATTAAAACCTTCCACGATAAACAAAAGTTAAAAGAATTTGCAGCTAGAAAACCATCTCTTCAAAACATCCTTGGCAAAACATTACAGGAAGAGGAAATGGAAAATAACAATGAAAACCAACAGTGGGAGGTAGGACAGTAAAGGGGGGGGGGAATAATCAAAGAGGAAAACAAACCATGTTTAGTAACAGAAATAAACAAATATGGCTGGAAGAACAACCCATATCTCAATAATAACCCTAAATGTTAATGGCTTAAACTCACCAATTAAGAGACACAGGCTAGTAGAATGGATCAAAAAAAAAAAAAAAAATCCAACAGATCCTCTAGACAAAAGCTGAATAAAGAAACTATTGAACTCAATAGCACAATCAATAACCTAGACTTAACCGACATATATAGAATATATCAACCATCATCAAGTGGATACACGTTCTTCTCAGCAGCACATGGATCCTACTCAAAGATAGACCATATATTATGCCATAGGGCAACTCTTAGTAAATACAAAGGCGTGGAGATAATACCATGCACCATATCTGATCATAATGGAATGAAACTGGAAATCAATGATAAAAGAAGGAAGGAAAAATCCTGCATCACATGGAAAATGAACAATATGTTACTGAATGATCAATGGGTTACAGAAGACATAAAGGAGGAGATAAAAAAATTCATAGAGACAAATGACAATACAGACACAACATACCAGAATCTATGGGACACAATGAAAGCAGTTTTAAGAGGGAAATTCATTTCTTGGAGTTCTTTCCTCAAAAAAAGAAAAAACCAACAAATAAATGAACTCACACTACACCTCAAAAACCTAGAAAAGGAAGAGCAAAATAACAGCAAATGTAGTAGAAGACAATAAATAATTAAAATTATAGCAGAAATCAACGAAATTGAAACAAAAAAAAAACATTGAAAAAACTAAAAGTTGGTTCTTTGAAAAAATAAATAAGATCGACAGGCCCTTAGCCATGCTAACGAAGAGAAGAAGAGAGAGAACTCAAATTACTAACATACGGGATGAAAAAGGCAATATCACAACAGACACTACAGAAATACAGAAGATAATTAGAAAGTATTTTGAAACCCTATATTCCAATAAAATAGAAGATAGTGAAGATATCGATAAATTTCTTAAGTCATATGATCTGCCCAGATTGAGTCAGGAAGACACACACAATTTAAACAGACCAATAACAAAGGAAGAAATTGAAGAAGCCATCAACAGACTACCAACCAAAAAAAGCCCTGGACCGGATGGGTATACAGCGGAGTTTTACAAAACCTTCAAAGAAGAATTAATACCAATACTTTTCAAGCTATTTCAAGAAATAGAAAAAGAAAGAGCTCTCCCAAATTCATTCTATGAGGCCAACATCACCCTGATCCCGAAACCAGACAAAGACACTTCAAAGAAAGAAAACTACAGACCAATATCTCTAATGAACTTGGATGCAAAAATTCTCAATAAAATCCTGGCGAATCGAATACAAAAGCATATCAAAAAAATTGTGCACCATGATCAAGTAGGATTCATCCCTGGGATGCAAGGCTGGTTCAATATACGGAAATCAATAAATACTATTCACCACATCAATAGACTTAAAGACAAGAACCATATGATCATCTCGATAGATGCAGAAAAAGCATTTGACAAAGTACAGCATCCCTTTATGTTCAAAACACTAGAAAAACTAGGTATAACAGGAACTTACCTCAGCATTGTAAAAGCTATATATGCTAAACCTCAGGCTAGCATCATCCTAAATGGAGAAAAACTGAAGGCATTCCCTCTAAAATCTGGAACAAGACAGGGATGCCCTCTATCACCACTTCTATTCAATTTAGTTCTTGAAATACTAGCCGGAGTAATTAGACAGACAAAAGAAATTAAAGGCATAAAAGTAGGAAAAGAAGAGCTTAAATTATCGCCATTTGCGGATGACATGATAATATATTTAACAGACCCCAAAGGGTCTACAAAGAAACTGCTAGAGTTAATAAATGAATTCAGCAAAGTGGCAGGATATAAAATCAACACACATAAATCAAAGGCATTCCTGTATATCAGCAACAAAACTTCTGAAATGGAAATGAGGAAAACCACTCCATTCACAATATCCTCAAAGAAAATAAAATACTTGGGAATCAACCTAACAAAAGAGGTGAAAGATTTATACAATGAAAACTATAGAATCCTAAATAGAGAGATAGAAGAAGATCTTAGAAAATGGAAAAATGTACCCTATTCATGGATAGGCAGAACTAACATCATCAAAATGGCGATATTACCCAAAGTTCTTTACAGGTTCAATGCGATGCCAATTAAAATCCCAATGGCATTTCTTATAGAAATAGATAAAGCAATCATGAAATTCATATGGAAAAACAAAAGACCCAGAATAGCAAAAGCAATTCTAAGCAGGAAGTGTGAATCTGGAGGTATAGCGATACCAGAGTTCAAACTGTACTACAAAGCAATAGTAACAAAAACAGCATAGTATGGTACCAAAACAGTCAGGTGGACCAATGGTACAGAATAGAGGACACAGAAACCAATCCACAAAATTACAACTATCTTATATTTGATAAAGGGACTAAAAGCATGCAATGGAGGAAGGATAGCATCTTCAACAAATAGTGCTGGGAAAATTGGAAATCCATATGCAACAAAATGAAACTGAATCCCTTTCTCTCGCCATGCACAAAAGTTAACTCAAAATGGATCAAGGAGCTAGATATCAAATCAGAGACACTGCGTCTGATAGAAGAAAAAATTGGCTATGATCTACATACTGTGGGGTTGGGTTCCAAATTCCTTAATAGGACGCCCATAGCCCAAGAGTTAATAACAAGAATAAATAAATGGGACTTACTTAAACTAAAAAGTTTTTTCTCAGCAAGAGAAACAATAAGAGAGGTGAATAGAGAGCCTACATCCTGGGAACAAATTTTTACCCCTCACACTTCATATAGAGCCCTAATATCCAGAATATACAAAGAACTCAAAAAATTAAACAATAAGATAACAAATAACCCAATCAACAAATGGGCCAAGGACTTGAACAGACACTTCACAGAGGAGGACATAGAATCAATCAACAAGTACATGAAAAAATGCTCACCATCTCTAGCAGTCAGAGAAATGTAAATCAAAACCACCCTAAGATACCATCTCACTCTTGTAAGATTGGCAGCCATTATGAAGTCAAACAACAATAAGTGTTGGCGAGGATGTGGGGAAAAGGGTACACTTGTACACTGCTGGTGGGACTGCAAATTGGTGCTGCCAATTCGGAAAGCAGTATGGAGATACCTGGGAAAGCTGGGAATGGATCCACCATTTGACCCAGCTATCGCCCTCCTCGGACTATTCCCTGAGGATCTTAAAAGAGCGTACTATAGGGATACTGCCACATCAATGATCATAGCGGCACAATTCACAATAGCTAGACTGTGGAACCAACCTAGATGCCCTTCAATAGATGAATGGATAAAAAAAATGTGGCATCTATACACAATGGAGTACTACGCAGCAATAAAAAATGACAAAATCATAGAATTTGCAGGGAAATGGATGGCATTAGAGCAGATTATGCTAAGTGAAGCTAGCCAATACTTAAAAAACAAATGCCAAATGTCTTCTTTGATATAAAGAGAGCAACTAAGAACAGAACAGGGAGGAAGAGCATGAGGAAAAGATTAACATTAAACAAAGACAAGTGGGGGGAGAGAAAGGGAGAGAGAAGGGAAAGCATATGGAAATGGTAGGAGACCCTCAATGTTACACAAAATTACATAGAAGAGGATGTGAGGGCAAACGGGGGGAAAACATAGGAGAGAATTGAACAACAGCAGATGAGGTAGAGAGGGATGATGGGAGGGGAGGGGAGGGGGGATAGTAGGGGAAAGGAAAGGTAGCAGAATACAACAGTCACTAATATGCCATTATGTAAAAATGTGAGTGTGTAACCAATGTGATTCTGCAATTTGTATTTGGGGTAAAAATGGGAGTTTATAACCCAATTGAGTCAAATGTATGAAAGATGATATATCATGAGCTTTGTAATGTTTTGAACAACCAATAAAAAATATAATAAAAAAAACCTAAAATTTTGATTTGGATAGAAATATTCAGTAGCTTTTCCCCATGACTCTTATATTTGATTTCTGTTACTTTAAAAAATGTTCTTAGCATAACCATTGCTTCTAACTGCCCTGTATACGTGTATACACAATCTATACATGTATGAAAACATCAAACTATACACCATAAATATGCATAATTACAAAGTGTTGATTAAAAAAAAGTACTTACTCTTGCACATATATTTTCCTGTAAGAAAGAGAGAAAAGTAGAGTCATGTGAATCCATATATTTGAGGTATAAGTCAAACATTACAAAACCTTTAAAATTTTATTATGTAAAATAAAGTACTAAGTAATTTTCATGAATGACCTATGAAATTAATCCCCTTGTTTGGTAATTAGGTCCCTAAAGTTTTATTTTTTTATATTTGCCATATGCTTCACACTTTGTTTAAAATTTAAAACTGTTGATTCAGATACAGTAAATTTTGATCATTCAAAAATGGATTTAAATGTAAATTTTTGTTTACATTATGAAAATATGATCTCGTAAAGTGATGCGAGAATCCAAGACTGCAAGATTACTAAGGAAATGTGTAACTAACTTCCAAATCACTATCAAGTCATCTTTACTATCCCTCCATATCTAGTTTTATGCAGATTCTGAATAATTCGCTTATTTAATGAATAATTCTCAAAAAGCCTTCACTAAACTAGATTCTGTAGTTTCCATTTTGCTCAAGAAAAACTGAAGTCCTCCAAGGGAAAAGCAATACATGGTCTGCCTCTCCTTCCATCTCCTCTCTACCCTTGTCTAGTATTCACCTCTTCCCCCAGTCTCTGACAGCCACACAGGCTCCTTGATTCTTCTAAAGTCTGCCAGGTGTGTGACTCCAGGTCTGTGCGCCTTGTCCCTTCTGCCTAGGTTGCTCTCCCTCTGGGGAGCAACTTTCACTTACTCCTTTATCTCTTTCAGGTCTTTGCTCAACTGTCCCTTCTCCATGAAGCTTTTCTTCATCAACCTTTAAGAAAGTGCATCCTGTCTCACACTGTGCTCCTTATCACCATTCCTAGCTTTCTTTTTTTCTTCCCAATAGTTGTTACTTTTTCATATACTATGTAACTCTCTTATTTATTATCTATCCCCTCCCTCAACCCTATGCATGAATTTATGCTTGATTTGTTCACTGCTGTGAACCCAATCCTAAAAAGTGATGGCATTTGGTAAGAGCTCAAAAGATTTGTCAAATTAATTAGTCAGCAAAGTAGACAGGAATTTTTTCTCTGAAAACCACATCTGGCTATCAAGAAATTATATAATAACCTATGTTCATACATTGACCAACATAGCCTCTGTTTTTCAATATCTTCATCTGTTTCAACCAATTAACCTAAATATTTTAACACAAATTAAAAATTGTTTTTAATGTAGTATAACAGTTGATAAAAAGAATCCTGATAAATTTTCCCAGTAGGGGAACCCACAGTCTATAGGGCAGGGCCATCGCATTATAACATCTCCTTTTTACTTACTCATCATTTTAAACTATCTTACTTGAGGTGAAAATCTGCGAAAGTTAATCCCAGCCAAGGACAATTCAGGATGGAAGAACTTAAATAATGTCCAATTATCCTTTGATGGGACAAAGTAATTTAATATCCCTATCCCTGTACCTGCTCCCTCATAGGCTTGGTGTAACTTGACTCAAGAAAGTTTTTATGTGAAAATTCCTTGAGGATTATAGTCTTGTTTTAAACTTGATGCCATATAACAAGAAACTGAAAGAATTTCCAAACGTGCTTTTATTTTTTTTTAACTTGGAACATTCCAAAAGCATACAATGTGGTGAATATATTGAAATGCATTCCTTTAGATTTTGTATCACATGAGCTTTTACCTTCTTCTCTGAATGGAGAAGCTACAGGAGTAACACGAGCGAAGTATCCAGATACTAAAAGTTTGTCATTTCTTTCTTTTTCTATTACAAATAAACAGATCTGTGGGGTCTCTCAAATGCAAAAGGAGTATTAATAGTGTTTATATCTGGAAAAACAGAAAAAGGCGGCAGCAGACAGGCTCTGCTTGCATTTATAGTTAATCTATTTTCACTTTCCTCATACAAATCAAAAACCTTAAATAACCTCAAAGAGTCTAAGTAATCAGATCTTTAGCAAACAACTTCCAGACCTTTAGAGCCTGTATTAACCCAGTGTTGCACACAATCTTAGGGATCATTAATGCCACTCTGTGAACACTTTGAGTAAATAAAAACTTGCAAATTTCTGATTTGTACGCTGCAGATACAGATGTACACTGTACTTCTGAATAGTTTTAAAGTCTTTCTAAAGGTCTCCAAATTCCAAAGATTTTGCTTAGATTGCATCTATAAAGATGAAAAACACACTCATCTGCTTCAGGAAAAGCAGCCAGTGAGCACTGGGGGCCTGATTTATCTCTTTAAAGTAGCTCTTGTGTGTGTGCCAAAAACTACCTGAGGGTGCTCATTAAAGATACAGACCCTGGATGGGCCCCCAGCAATCCTATTTGTTTGGGCTGGGGTGGGGGAAGCATAGGAAACTGCACCTTTAAAATAGATTCCCAGTGGATCTAGTGCAGAGGAACTCAGACACAAGAAATGTTACCCTCACATTTCAAAAAGATTAAAAATTATTTTCTGGATACTAATATTATTTTCCCTTTTGAATGACAATGGACTTCAAAGAATAACCAAAGGTTATGAGCTTGAATCCATTACAGAAGCAGGCAATATCTCTGCCATCCTTTTGGAAATTAGTCATGAACTGCACCCCCTGTGAGAGCTTTTGGTACGTTACTTAAAGTAACTCTTGCGTTGTTATTAAACTTCCCAGAGGTTTTGTTTATCTCCCCAACTAGAGTTTGTGTTCCTGGGAGGCAAGAACTATGCTTATGCGTTTAAAAATAAAATATTTTCAACATTATCTAGTGTTCTTAATAAATATTTATTAGGCCTTCAATAAACACATTTTAATTTTGGTTAAAGTGCAACCTAAGTTGCTTTAAAATCCACTTTAGTTTCTGAAGCATGAAGCTATCTCTCTTGTGGATATTGCTTCAAACCAAGTTTTTCCAAATATTCCTTTTCATGGTGGGAAATAGAGGCTGCACCTAATATTCATTAGAAATGGCAAATGCACTTGGGTTCTGTTATTTAGCCACTAGGAAAAGACAGAGTGACAGTAATAGCTTTGACTGATTACTTGGCAAGGGAAACCAAGCCCTCAGGGTGTTCCAGACTCTCTTTGGCCTATAAACCTGTTTGAAAACCTGTTTCTCAGAATTTAAGGCTTAGCTCAATTGAGGTCAGTATTATAGTAATGTCAATAATTCTACTGCTCTTAGCCTTCAGGCAGGCCAGCACAATTCATCATTAACTTTATTTTCATGGAAAGGCAACTTTTTGGAAAATAGCTCTAACTTAAACTATTTTATTTTGATTTTATTTCCTTTAAGAAATAGTTCTGCCAATATTGCTTCCTTTGGATTTTTTTGCTTTCTAAACCTTAACACCTTCCAGGGACTGAAATTATTCCTTCAAACCAGAATGGTTCTGAATACACAAAATTTGGGGCATGAAGATAGAAATCGACAATAACTCAAAGATTTCAGAAAAAGACCAAATAAGTCATTGGGTCTGGAAGCTATTTTCAATCATTGGCATAGGAGTTTTCAAAATTACCTCTGCCTTGAACTGCTTTTTAGGGGCATGACATTGAGCTGCTATATGACCTTGTGGATACCTGGGCAGGGATTATTGCTTTCTCTTAGAAGTCAAACATTTAATGAACAATAAATTATTGTTCATCCTCCTAAAAACAGCTCTACTTCCTGTGAGCAGTCAGAAGTAACATGGCTAACGTAGATTAACCATATCTCCAGATGAGAACCTCCATCTCCAGGATTGGATTTACCATGATGATACAAGGAGCTAGCTTTTCATTTGCTAAGAGATTTCTCTCTTCTAATTCTAGAAACAGAAGAAGGAAAATGGTTCAAGATAGACATTTATTGGATCAGATCTTTCCATTTGTTTAAGCTAAAGAAGGGGTCCATTCATATCCAGAACATCATTATTTTTCCTGAGGAAAAAGCACCTATAACTTTAGAAGACTTTGATCTTTATATGTAAATTTATTAAAATGAATGCAACTTCAAACTTTAGTGCTTTTATGGATTGATATACTAACACTGAACTAAAGTGAAAATAGAATTAGTTACAACATTTTATTTAAGAATTGTCTGATCATATTGAGTTTCTTGTGGGTAGAACATAAAGTCTTATTTATTTTTGTTTTTTGACAGCCAGACCTATCCTTGCCACAGCATAAGCACCAAATAAATTTTCACAATTTAGTGACTTGAATATATTCTTTTTCACCGTCTGGGGGTGGGGGGATATGAGGAAAGATAGATGGGCAGAGACTAAAGAATGGCAATTTATTACTGGCCAGTAGAGGGCAATAAAATTGAGATTGCATTTATTTATTTGTTTGTTTATTATTTAAATTCACTGGGCTCTAGTTAAACCCACTTTCAGATCTGTTCCTATCTTGGAAAGACTTCCTCTACAATAGTCTCATTTCACTGTAATGCTGCTATAAACTTTCTATAGTACATTAGGACCCCTCTTCCTCTTCCCACCCCACACAACAAAATACCAAGGGAGATGTGCTGGAGTCAGATTGGTATACAATGGTTTTTAATCAGCTCTCTCTGGTTGGTTAATCCCTAGACAAATCATGGTCATCCAACAGTGGGTAATCCTTAAAAATGAAAAATCACAAGAGAATTCTGGGTAAGATTGTGGACCAAGAGAATAATTTCAGTCTTAAGCTTCATATGGTCGGAAACTATGAATAGACAGTTGCCAATTTCTTCTGAAAGGATCAACCCAAATATAGGCTCATATTTATGCATATAAAAATCAGAAGAAAATGTAAACGGTACTTATTAATTGATGGTGAAATAGCTAAGACTTTAAAAAAATACTTATTCATACTTGCTTATTTTTTAAATTATTTTTTTAGGTGTGTATGGACTCAATGCTTTTATTTTATTTTTTTTAATGTGGTGCTAGGATTGAACTCAATGCCTCACACTTGCAAGGCAAGTACTCAACCACTGAGCTACAACTCTAGCCCCACTTGCTTATATTTTTCAGATTGTTTCTTCTAGAAAAAAAATAATATTATTAGGACCCCCAACAACATTTTAATGATGAGGAAGGAAGGCTTGACTAAATGTCCTGAAACTAATTTTAGGACAGCGTGACTTATCTTCACAATCTCCATGCTTTCACAAAAATGAATTGGGAGAAGGAGGAGGGCCATTCAGGGAGTCTAGGGCATTCCACTAACCTAAGAACCCATGTGCTTCAGGGGTCATGGGGCTACATGTTGTCTCACATATTCCTTGAACTCTGAAGGAGCAGACACATTGCAATAGCTTTAAGAAAGGGCTTTTCTTCCATATTTTATTTTTTGATATTGCATTTTTCTATCTCTACAGAGCCCTGAATCTTTTCCCATGTTATTTTTAGTCAGTCTCTCAGAGGGAGAAAAAAAGTCAATCCAGGCTTCTAGCATGTCAGCTTTTCATAAAGGAAATACAAAGCAGAGTGCCCAGCAAGCCTCCTAAAACACAGAATTTATGTGAGATCTTTTATCTACATCCATTTAAAAATGTCCCCTACTAGGCAATGAAGAGAAGATGGGAATCACCATTTGAAAAGGGCTTACTTTAAGGACTGGATACAGTGGCTCAAATGTTGCTTCAGCTCTTCCTCCTTTTCATAGGACTCCAGCACACTATGCGCTTCATCATGGTGATAACAGTAGATTTTATATATATCTTCCAGCGGCTCCTTAATCTGCAAGAATACCTCTCCTGATAAATGCAAAGCAAAAACAAAATGACATCAAGTCAGACCAAAATGGCACTTCATAGTCTATTATTCAAAAATGTTGACTAGTGTAAAAAAGTTGATGGGTCCCACTCCATCACTTAAAGATGAGTGGGGTCTTAGACATTGAGTGATATTTTTCTCTTCCTTCCTCTTTTCCTTCCCTCCTTCTTCCTTTTTTAACTTCCTTCCTCTTATAAAGAGAAGGATGAAGAATTTTACAGAGATAGACAGCAAAAGAAATCTGGTTTTCTAAAAGGTGACTACACACCAGGTAGGCATGTAGCATCATGGTTAATAGCATGGAGTTAAGAACAGATCAATTTAGAGTTATTCTGTATAAGTTTGAATCAGGTTGTGCTACAGATTTTGTGACTCTCTGAATATGTAAACTCTCTTAATGAGTTTCTTCATATATAAAATGGTAGCCATAATAGATTCAATTTTATAGTTGTTATAAATATTGAGGGATGCAGTGCATGTAAAGTTCAAAGTATAGTTCGTATGGGATAAATGCTTAAAATGGAGTAGTTTTGTACATTTACTAGAGGTATAAGAGGTGACATTTCAGCTAGTAGGTAAGTGATTTTTCAAAATGTATTACACTAACATTTCCTGAGTTTCTCTGAAAGGCAAGCAAGAGAAATAAAACATTTCCTTATATGTGATAATAAAATTAGGTTATTATTCCTTTAAAAAAAAAGACAAAAAAAAAAAAAACACTGAATACCAGTATTAATTTTACTGTCTCAGGCTGAGGTTGTGGCTTAGCCGTAGAGGTCTCGCCTAGCAAGTGCGAGGCCCTGAGTTCAATCCTCAGCACCACATAAAGATAAATACATTGTGTCCAACTATAACTAAAACATAAATATAAAAAATTTCACTGTCTCCATAAGTAAGTTCTGATATATGGCAGATCCAATCTCCCAGCCTTGCTGTTTTTCCAAATTGTCATGGCTATTCTCATGAGTTTTCTTTATCGTGCATTCTCCTTGTCATTGATTTCTATTTGACTAACCTCAAAATCACTGTTATTTTTCTAACTTTTTGAGTTGGGTACCATCCATTTAAGTTCAATATCTCTTGCCGTGTTTTAAAGAAAATATTCAAAAATATGTGTTTACCTCTAAGTACATTTCATTTGCATGCCTCACCTATTTCATCAGGGTTTCTGTTTGGTTTGGTTTGGTTTGGTTTTGGTTTTGGTATCAGGGATGCTGAACCACTGAGCCACATCCCCAGCCCTTTTTATTTTGAGACAGGGTCTCACTAAGTTACTTATGGTTTCATCAAGTTGATGAGGCTGGCTTTAAAAAAAAAAATCAATTGAATTATACTATGAGCCAAGGTTATAATGTATCTTCATGAAGCAACTTGGGCTAATTGTGTCCAGACATTTAATGAATTCTCTTTTATATTACCATAAAATTGGCTCTATAAATGGTACTTCAAGTAGATATTGGACAATAGTTTGATTTAATTACCCACTCCATCACTTAAAGATGAGTGGTATGCATCCACTACCCAACCAGCACTGTGTGAGATGATTTGGGAAATACAAAAGAAATATGCGACAGGATCTGCTCTCAAAAACATTGCATATTTGAGATTGATGATGATTTGGAGGCTGAGTTGATTGACAGTGATGTGGACCTATTTATCTGGGCCTATTACAGTAACAGAAAAAAGTCATTCTTCCTAGAGAAATAGAAGTTTCTTTAGTATCTAAAAAATGTTTTGCACACATTAACTGCTTCATTCCCTACATGCACAAAGAAAGAAGAGGTTATTTATTCATATTAATTAAGGATGAACAAATCTGAGTTAGTAACAAATGCATTATTTTCCAAACGTCCTGTTAGCCAGGATTATAGGTCATTGTTTTAATTTTTCCTTGGGTCTTAGCTTCTCATCTGTCAGAACTTTGCTGGACATTGTATGAGTGATGCAGTTGGAAACAGTGACATATTTAGATTCAGAATTCAGGGTGCCTGTGGTGACTTTGGGGATAACTTTTAAAAAATGTTTAAACCTCTGTTCCTTTATAATGTTTGTAGGATGGAAATAAAAGTATTTATAGCACTGTTGATATTAATTTGAGAAATAAATGGGATGATGCATGTGAAATATGGCTGCCACGGACTAGTTACTCAATAATTGTCACTTGTCTCTTAAGGCTGCTCACTATCTCTAGAATTAAAACACTAGTACCTTAAAGTATCACATTCCTTTCTAATTTGTATCTATCTAATAAAAGTTTTTTTTTCCTTTTAATTATATGGGATTTTTTTGTGTGTGATTATAGTTCAACTCTCATTGTGTATGTGTGTATGTTGTTTGTGTGTGTGTGTGTGTGTGTGTGAGAGAGAGAGAGAGAGAGAGAGAGAGAGAGAGAGAGAAGATCCTGAGTGTCTGTTTTCATTATGCTTTGTGTGGCTTATAAAGACAATTCAATGACTGCAAGCATCTTGGGAGCTCAAGGGGTGAGGGATTCTTGTTTGTTTGTGGGATTTTACTGAGTTGATTCTTCTACCAGAGTAGGTCTTATAGATTTGCCTTTAAAAGACAGCAACACAAGCAATAAGAAATAAAGCAGTTAACAAAAAGATAAAAATAAAATAGGACAGCAAATGAATGTAGGGTTGGGCACAAGATGAAGAGATGATAGTGGAGATATTGGCTGGGGAGGAAATTCAGGCCCCAAATAGGAATGAGTGACAGACTGGGATGGAGGCTCTGTGGCCAGTCAAGAGCAAAGGATCCCAGGACACACATTCTAAGACAAGATGAAGCTGCAAATACGTTATATTTACTACAGACAAGGTAACAATGTGTGTGTGTGTGTGTGTGGAGAGAGAGAGAGAGAGAGAGAGAGAGAGAGAGAGAAACAGACTCAGAAACCCATGCTTTGATCAAATCAGAAAGCCAGAAAACAAAGAAAAAGTCACTCATTTTACAAACAATTACACCTTTAATTGCCAACTCCCTCGTATGTTCTTTAACAGATGTGTTCCAGTTTAAAAGAATTTCTAACTCTCCCCTTAACAGCAGAATCCATTTCTTTACTCTTTTCCAAGTAAAATTCTGTTGGGGCTCTAATAATAATTATCAAAGTTGAAAGATATTTAAATGCTCTAATTGAAAGTCATTTATTCGCCCAAAGGCCGAGTACAACACTGACAGGCAGAATATTTGATTCTCCTCCCAGCCCTACCAATGTATTCTGCTTCATAATAGTGCCGATGAAGCGAGGTGTCTTGCAGCAAAAAGTGATTCTGTTTCCACGGTAACATAAGTCTCAGCTGCCTTTCTTTAGTGGTGAAGGACAACTGCTCTGTCTAATGTGTGTGGGTTTGAAGGGATGATTAGGAGCAGAGAACAGACTGAACCAAGAACAGTGAAGGTAATTTCACTTCTGACTGCCTGTCACAAAGGCACCTGAATCCTATAAAATACAAGCAACTGCTGTGTTCTCCTTTTTAAGAATTTTGCGACTCAAGAATTTTTTGCATCAACTTTCCCAGAAAGCAACCCCATGCAAAGGCACCCTTTTAAAATTCCTTAGTTATGGCCTTTAAAAACAACCACCAAAAATATTGAACATATTCTATATCCCAATATAACTATTCTTGAATTGTAAGTTGCCCCCTTTCCTGAGGTAAATATATGCATGTTTTTTCTTTTCTTAAACCACCTTTGTTTCCTTCAGACCCTCCTGTCCATCTCTAAGAAGTGCCATATCAGACAATGTGGCCTCTGCATTATTGTGAACCACTCCAAGATACATTTCCTCTGCATATTTAAGGGATCTCCTTGTTTTAGGCTTTGTTTAGGAAAACATCATGAAAGAAAAGGAAGCAGTCACATTCTTTAGTTCATCTTTATTTGATGATTTGCTGGGTAATGATTTTGCACCAAGCACAATGGTGGTGCTCCAGACACAAAGAACCCACACTTCCTTCAAGAAAGTTATTCAGGCCAGTAAAGGAGAGAGAAGAGTACATTTACCTTTACCATGCTGTGTGAAAAGGACAATAATAGAGCCAGAAAACCCAGAGGGGCACCCATTCAACCCTTGGGAATCGTGGAGCTATTCTCCTAACAACCTGACCTTGGTAGGAGTTATGAGTGAGTGCAAAAACAAGGAGTGGAAGGAGGGGGAAAGTGTGTTCAGAAACTTCGAGTGCTCTGGTATGGCTGGGTGGCTCCATATGGCTTGGGTGGCTCAACTCTGTGAAGAGTTTCGGAAGAGGCTGTAGAGGTGGCAGATCCTGAAGTAGCATGTGTAGCATTAAAGAGTTGCAACTTGAGCCTGAAGGTGACAGAGAAGTACTGATTTTAGGCAGCAGACTAATATGATTAGATAGCATCTTAGAAAGATTTCTATGGTGTAATATCACGAGAGAAATGAAATTTGGAAGAGGAGTCAGTGAGACTAGAGAAGAAAAACTAATCAAGAAACTTTCCATAATATTAAATAAACAGTGACAGTGAAAATAGGAAGTTACAGCAGTAGAGTGCTCTAGATTGGGGGTATAGCTCAGTGGAAGAGCATGTGCTCAATGTGTGTGAGGTCCTGGATTTGATCCCCAGCACTGCCAAAACTCACCACCAACCACCACCACCACCACAGCAACAAATATGAGCAAACAAACAAAAACAGCTCTAGAGTCATTGCCTTGGTTCAAATCCTGGTTTTACTATTTATTTAATGTACGTGTTGAGGCAGGAGAAAAATGGCTTAGGCTCCCTCACTGAAGCTTTCAGTATGTAGTCAAGGTCCTGAATCAGTTGTTATGGTTAGTGTGTAGTCAAGGTCATTAACACTTTCATTTAACATACGTACTCAAGGTCATAACATTTTCTTATGTAACCTGTTGGCAGTGTGCCTTCTTTGTTTGACCTGCATATAAAAAGGGCCTATGTAAATGGCTTAGGGACTGGTGAGGGGTTATTGCCACACCAGATAAAGGATGACAATATT